CAGCAATTTTATCAGATAGTTGATGAGTTTTTCTGATGCCTGCTTCAGCAACTGTCATGTATGCATGACATGAAAAAGTTTCTGCTGTTTTTCTTTCATTCATTTCCCAGGTAACTAACTGCTTATACTTTTCCCAAGCCAGTTGAAAATTTTCAGTGACCTGGTGAATACATGCGATTTGCATAAGAGCGATATGCGTGTAGCCGTTGTACATCGAATACTTGTCTACTGGAATGATGCTATGTCCAACGTCAGACGCTTTAGTATAGTACTCCAGTGCTGCTTTATTATCCTCTTTCTGCCTATGAATTGCACCAATGCAACAATAGCTCATAACCAACACATCTTTGTGATCTTCATCATTTTTATAACGATTAACTGCTTTTAATTGGTATTCGAGTGCTTCCTCAAACTTCTTCTGTCTGTACTTTAACCATCCCATTCCACTGTCATGTGCGCCAGCCATTAGTCCAAACTCCTGTTTTATAATACTGTAGTACGTTTCTGATTTTTCATCATCTAGTAAGAGGTCGCCAACTCGGACAAGTTTGGCTTCCACAGACGCTGTCGACTTTAATGTTTGATAGTCTCTAGCGATATCGTTCCCTTTATCGTCTTCGTTAACCAGTGTTAACGAAATAATCCAAACGTTAGTACTATATGTTTTTTCAACTACTTCAAATAAGGATCCAACGGTAAATAGGCACTCATCTTCACCACTTTGAATAATAATGTAAGGTTTCACTTTCAGCGGTAGTTTATGATTAATTGTAAAATGAATTACGAAAAGAACAATTTGAATATCTTGATTAATACTGCTTTTTGCATCGGCCACAAATTCCAGTGCCATAGCTTTGGAGAATGTTGCCGATAAAAATGTGTTAAATGTTACGAGTTTATTGGAATCTAATTGATCTATCTCAGCTTTTGTAATACGCTGGCCGCGATACACAGTATATGATGAACCATTATCGATATAGTTTTCATCAATATTTTCTTCATACCATTCTTTTATTTGACGATAAAGATCGTTTATAAAAAAACGAAAAAGAAAAATGCCACGTATATTTTGTTGTCGAAATACTCTATTCATTAGTTTGTAGATAAACGAG